AGACCGATTGCGACACTACGGATCATTTTTGGACAATCACTTGAATGGAATTCGTCATTATAGATCAACTTCATTGACTATGAGAAGGCGTTTGATAGTGTGAACAGGAGGACCTTATGCAAACTTCTTCGACTCGGTGGTGTGAGTAGCTGAGAAAATCGTCAACATCATTCGGAAGTCATACGACTGACTACAGTGCAAGGTGGTGTGTGGCGGACAAATGAATTCCAACTAATGACCGGTGTCAGACAAGGCTGCTTACACTCGTCCTTTCTCTTTCTTTTAGTGATTGACTAGATTACGAAGGACTCCATATCTGTAGGAAAGCACGGAATACACTGGACAGAGTGGATGTAACTAGACGATTTGGACTTCACAGTTGACCCAGTTCTTCTCTCCTATATACACCAACAAATGCGGTTCAAGACAACCGGTGTAGCAGCAGCAGCAGCCTCTGTATCAGTAGGCCTCAACATACATAATTGAAAAAGCAAGATTCTGCAACTCAACATGGATAACTCCAACCCAATCCTACTTGATTGAGAAACTGTGGAAGAGGTGGAAAATTTCACGTACCTGGAAAGCATCATCGGTGAACAAAAAAATCTGTAGAATTATGGTCTATAATGGTATTGGTACTGCTCTAATAATAAACTTAATCCTAAAATTGTACATTTGTCATGATGTAACTGCCTTGTCTATAAGATCTTACGTGGAAGTCACATCATTGTCTACACTGACTCATCGTATCTTAACAATTACCAACATATGGTGGAGAACACATTCAGGCTGGATATAGAACAATGTATTTAATGAGGACAAAAGGTATATAACAACGCGAAACAATGACCACGCCTGCAAGACCGAGTCATGCCATTCGATCAACCCGAATTTATTCAGCCCATTGTTCCCGCCTTCTTTGTCGTTTGGTTTTTCTCCGCGCTAAATGTCGACTATCTATTTCCCCAAAAGTCTTGTTTTCAGCTTTGAGGATTGTGTAGTCAGGGTTCAATGTCACTACAGTGTGTTTTTGCGGCAAATACATCCCAAAAATAAAGAGTTTTGCAAGTTTTTGACATTGATGCTGACCCTAGTTTGCTTTACCTAACACACATAGTTGAAGATTCTCGGTCATGCATTCGCACTCAATTACGTGTGGGTATATTGTGCTACGCATCCTTAGCCTTCTTTGACAAAACTCTTCTTGATGTATCGATAGCCTTTCAAATATATTTTCGAACCTCTTCATTTCTGACTTCTGATTTGATAGGGTTGGCATACATCGAATATAGAGATATAATTTCTATTATTACTAGTAACTTTGTTCAATACTATATTCTTGGCACAATATGAAAACCTTAACAAAATTATTTTAAAGTTTCATTTTCTTACTTCTTGATCGATCCTGATGATAAATATTGGGTGATCGGCAGTTAGATGTCAACGCTAACATCTAATTGAACTGTGCAATTCAGGAATTGGCATCTGGATTGTGTTAATTCTCCTCAAAGAATGGTGCTAGCCACCACGATGTCTGTGATTGCACTTTTTTGTAACTTGTACAGTGAAATGTCATGGATTTGTAGTGATCTACTTTTATGAAGCGAACGCGACTGGTATAATGGAGACAATTATTATAACTAACTGTGCCAGTGATTGTTTTACTGTGCTTGTTTGTTTAAGTGCATCAAAACTCCTTTTCGTTCTTTGTGACATTGCACGAACTCTCGTACGCTCAGTAGGCTCGATGTAGATTTTGGTACGATCTTGGTATTATTTCGATGCCTTGAGATCGCCAACAAATACATCTTAACTACAGCCTTCAACCGCCTTCTGATATTTGACCTGCGGAGAGGTCTAGCCTGGTAACTGGCTTGTATTCGATCTGTAGTGGTGATCATAATCAACCGCATTTCGACGGCTACCACGGATTCTTCATAAATACATCTGAATGGGTTATGCGATTAAAAGACATAACAGTGTGTTAAAACAAACGAAAACAGGAAACTTGTTACAATATCTGAATGACAGGAACAGGTAACTTAAATATTCGAGCAGGCCATCACTTGCGTGTAAATACGTTGTCGAAATCCGAATGTCTTCATTGATTCGACACTTTGTTTGCATGCAACTCGATCAGTAGCTTCTTAGTTTAAAAGGTAACGTTTTGTGTGGGCCAGTTGGTCAAACTGCAAGAAGCCTCATCACATGAGATTTCGTTGGCACTTCCCTTCACTGAAAAAGAATTTTTTTAACAAAGGAAACTTTGGGGGTACAAAGTTCTTATCGAATAATTAAAAGATGGAATTTTTAAAAAGACAGTAACGCTGCTCAACAATTACTATATTACTGAAACACTAGGAAAAATTTAAAACTACTTACGGAAACATAGTGTTTCCTCAGTCACTCTAAAATTATAAAGACACTTTTAATCGTGTCCAGCGGAGAGTGACGAAATCAGTTTGGGGACTGAAATTCAAGCCTTATGAAGAGCGCCTCCATTTGCTAAACCTAGATCCGTTAGAGTACAGGCGTCTTAGAGGTGACCTTCTAATTGCCTACCGTATCCTCAACGCCCCTGGGAATCACTTTAAACACCCACTTAAGTTTAGCTCCAACATAAACCTAGGGGACTCCAATGTTATGCACCCACCAATGATAGCAACGACGACATTAAAGATAAATTCTATGAGAGGCTGCAATCAATCATAGAGAAGTGCCCAAGAAAGGACCTCACCATTCTGATGGGAAACCTAAACGACATTGTCGGAATGGACAACACCGGATATGAAGACATCATGGGACTGAATGGACTAGGAGAGAGAAACGAAAACGGGGAAAGATTTCTAAATCTGTGTGCAGGTTCCAAGCCCTACATGATCTACTGAAGGAAGAAAAAACTACTATGGATGATAGCTGGAAAGGTATCAAAGAAACATTAACTTCAACGTGTCAAGAGGTTCTTGGCCTCAAGAAGCATCATCACAACGAATGGATCTCTATAGAAACACTGGACAGGATCAAAGAAAGGAAGAACAAGAAGACAGCAATTAACAATAGCCGAACACGAGCAGAGAAATTCCAAGCACAAGCTGAGTACATAGAAGCAAACAAGCAAGTAAAGAAGAGCATTAGAGCCGACAAGCAGAAATACGTGGAAGAACTAGCAACGACGGCGAAGAAAGCTGCAAGAGAAGGAAATATGAAAACACAGACCTTCCTGTAGATGTCAATCCACCAACGACCGAAGAAATCAGAATGGCCATCAGACAAATCAAGAGCGGGAAAGCAGCAGGACCCGACAATATGCCAGCTGAAGCACTGAAGTCAGACATCGAAGTAACTACAAGCATGCTTCATCTTCTATTCAAGAAGATTTGGGAAGAAGAACAAGTGCCGATGGACTGGAAAGAAGGACACCTCATCAAGATTCCAAAGAAAGGAGATCTGAGCAAGTGTGAAAACTACAGAGGCATCACACTACTGTCAATACCACGAAAAGTCTTTAACAGTGTTGCTGAACCGGATGAAAAACGCAGTAGACGCTCAATTTCGAGATCAACAAGCTGGATTGCGTAAGGACCGGCCGTGCACAGACCAGATTGCGACACTACGTGTCATCGTCGAACAATCAATTGAGTGGAACTCGTCACTTTACATCAACTTCATTGATTATGAAAAGGCATTTGACTATATAGATAGGAGAACATTATGGAAACGTGTTTGACAGTCAGACAGCCAGCATAGCAGCAGTCTCTGCATCAGTAGGCCTCAACATACACAAGAGGAAAACCAAGGTCCTCAAACACAACACGGAGAACAGCAATCCAATCACTCTTGATGGCGAAACACTGGAAGACGTAGAATCCTTCACATACCTGGGAAGCATCATCGATAAACAATGAGATTCAGATGCAGACGTAAAGGCGAGGATTGGCAAAGCAAGGACAGCATTCCTTCAATTGAAGAACATATAGAACTCAAAACAACTTTCAACCAATATCAAAGTCAGAATCTTCAATACGAACGTCAAGACACTCAGTTCCACTGTATGGAGCCGAAACGTGCAGAACTACAACAACCACCATCAAGAAGGTGCAAGTATTTATCAATAGCTGTCTACGCATGATACTCAACATCCATTGGCCGGATACCATCAGCAACAGCCTTTTGTAGGAGAGAACCAACCAGCTTCCAGCTGAAGAGGAAATTAGGAAAAGACGATGGAAATGGATAGGTCATGCATTACGCAAATTATTAAACTGCATCACGAGACAAGCCCTAACTTAGAATTTTGAAGGGAAGCGGAAAAGAGGAAGGTCAAAGAACACATTACGTCGGGAAATAGAAGCAGATATGAAAAGGATGAATAAGAACTGGGAATAGCTTGAAAGGATTGCCCAGGACAGGGTTGGATGGAGAATGCTGGTGAGCGGCCCATGCTCATTCACGAGGAGTAACAGGTGTAAGTAATTAAGTAAGTTAATAAGTAAGTAACAAACCTAGGGGGTAACACCCAAAAACTAGGGGCATAACACAGAAGAACAGACTTTAGACACAACCTCTACCCCTAAAGAGCTATCAAATTCTAGAATTCTCTGCAGACTGAGCTAGTCCAAGCGACTTCCCAGTAGTTCTTTAAGAGGAATCTTGACCTATTCTTAAGGACTAAGGATAATGTCACTATGATTTGCCTATTTTATTTTCCTTTGTTATCGTTAATATACATAGGTTCCTGCCTTGAAGCATTGGTGATCCACTGCTGCTAGACATGGAATCCCATTAAGCGAGTTTCTTTTATTCCGTCCACGACCATTTGAACCATTTGAACCATTACGATGAATTTGAGGTAGAAGTAATTACTTACATCACCCTGGTGCCGAAATCCGGAACTTTGTATATCAAAATGACTGGCTTATGATGATGCGCAAATTTGAAAGAAAAGCTAGCACAGAAGGAACATTTGACCATCATTAAAGTATCTTTTTTAAATCTGCTCTACTCCACAAGGACGTAATGGGGAGCGCGCTTCAAATTCCTCACCAATGAGGTGTTGTGTCTGCAGTTTGGAGTTCCAAAATCCATCCAATTCTCTGATTTTATGTGGCAACTGCAATACAGTCGTTCATCAGGGATGTTATGGCGTACCGAAACTAACTGGTGTTAATAACTGGTTTTGTAGGAAATGCGAGTCGCAAGTTCGCATGAGCAAAATCGTAAGATACAGCTATATGTAAACTTATTATTAGCGTTGCGATTTGTGCCCAATTAAGGATGGTGCATTTAAACGCAGCAACGGCGTTCGATGTGGTAAGATTGGGCTTCATTCAGGATGTATTCCAGGACAGGTTGGGCCCATATTATCTGTGCAATATACATACCTGAAGTATTTTTCACTGATCTTAGCACTATGGAGCTTATATCAGTTGAGAACGTGATGCCCGATAGGCTTGGTCGAGTAAGTGACATAATAAGCAATTATACTTAAACCGAATTTTCGTTTTTGTTGTGGATTCGGGCCTGCTTAGATGTTTGCTCACATGAATAACTCAAATACTTACAAATCTGGCGAGACTATAATTTATGGGCGAACCAACCAGAAATAAGACGACGAGTCACGAATTTTGGTGTGAAATTCATCCGTACATTTGGCTAAATAAGATTTTAGCATTATAGCTGATATCAGTTCGTGATGAAAACCCTAAATCTAGTTTTTAACCCTAACCATCAGTTGTAAATGAAAATTCTAACTGCTTTATAACCCTCATTTAGTTCTAATTAGTAGGTGTCCACACTCAGGGTCACTTCGGCGTCGCTCAAAGGTCGTCCATAAATTATAGTCTCACCTCAACTTTTTACAAAGTATTCACTTCTGTGGTGGTGAACATGGGTTGTTAATTACGTGGAAACCCGGTGTGTGATTTTTTTCATAGGTGGTACCACATGTTAGTTGTTAATAAGTAAGTCTTATTGGATATTCAGATCTGAGCCACCCAAAGTATTTCTTAATATGGCGACCTTTAAACAAGCCAGTTTTCTCTATAAATTCATTGGAAATCAAGCTTGACACGTGATAACTCCTAAAAATGATCAAATCACTCGTAGTCAGCAAAAAAATACTGGCGGAAACTAAAAAGTGGATTAACCTAGTATCTGTATACGACAAAAGTCAAATACAATAACGACCTTAAGTAAACAATTCGTAATTGAGTGAGACAATACTCCAGTTATCTTGCACAGTTTCAAGTGCAGTAACAGACAACGTGCATGTGGTCATTAACCACGTAAGAATTAATAATTTTTGGTTCTTAAAGTTTTTTTAAATCAACCAACATATCTACTATATGACGACAGTAAGTTTCGGATAGTTCTTAGGCTAAATTATTTGGCATACCTGCTCCTAAGACACATTATGCGTCTAATTGCGTAGTGCTGTTCACTACGTAATCAAGTGCTTAGTGAAGCTAGATGTTATCCCTTTCTTATTCTCGTTTAATCTCAACCCTAAGTTTCTCAACTTTGTAAACAGGAAGATGCCGAAGCATTGCGTTGTAAATGATGTCAGTTCGTGTCGAAAACCCTGACCCCAATTTATAGACTCAACTTAAAACTCCAGTTTAAATCTTAGCATCTAACCCTAATCTTTTTGTTTCATAACTCATGTCAGTTGGTGGCGAACACTATGGCGTGATAACTACTTAGGGTTATAGAGTTACTACCCCGACTCCTGGTATGTATGTATATGTGTTGACTTACTTTTTTCTTTATTAGAAGAGATAATTTAACTTGTGAGGATTAATTATTACGGCCAAAGCTGTTATTTCATTATTTCATGTTGTTAGTTGTCTTATAATTAGATGGCACTTCCTGATCTGCTGATAAGTTGTCCAAGGTCGTCGGTATATTATAGTTTTACTCCATATACTACAAACTTTCTAAATATTTATGATTGTATGCTGAGTCTGAGTTCCATATACCACCATACGATATGCTTGGCAAGTGCAAGTAGAGGATAATCTCACGGAATATATAGTTCCAGACTTTTATTTTTACTTATAATCACGAGTAGCTTGACATTGAGTATGTACATACCTGATTTATGTTCATAATGAAGGTAAATGAATACTTGAGTGTAGAGTTCTTTCACATTGAGTAGGCTTATAATTGTGGTGATTTCGTTAGCAATACTTTAAGACGACTATGGAAATCAATCCTCGCTGTCTTTTTAATCAGTTTCTTGTTACCATAATAGTATGGGACATTCTTTCGATATCCTTTTATGCCAGTTTTTTTATAAAGAATTGAATGTAACCATCAGTAATAACTACTACTTCTTAAAGGCTTATTGCAATGACAAGGGAAAATTTGCTAGGGCTGTCTCTTTATATCTATATTTATGTGATCAAAAGTATTGGCGTGCATATTTGTTACTGTTTAGTTATTAGTAACCTAACCCCGCTTATTATCCGAAAGATTCAATGTACTCGTTATGAAAAAGAATAAGCTTATTCATTCCATTTATTCTCAGCAACAGTGAGTATGACGGGATTGTAAGCCAAATGTTTTGAGGGTTTGTGTTGCTGCTTGGTTATTCAAACTTTAAAGTAAAGCATAAACTGGTGAACTGTTGTTCCAATATGTTCTTAACAGTAAATTCTAACAAAATTCGCCATTTAGTATGTTCAGAAATAAAGAATTGCATTGTTTTGTTCCTTACGACATAACATGTATTGTTCTAAATAAAATCAGAGCATATTTATCAGAATATTGAAAATAGCTTCAAGATAGGGAAATCTGTAGACAGGCGACGAAATTTGTTAAATTAACAGTTCAACAGAACTGTATTTGTAATAAGTAGCGAGTTTCTTACACTTCAGAATTTTTAGTCAAAGATTTTAATTGTACGTTAATCATAAAATTGTCCAAAGTAAGGTAGTATTAGGAAGATCCCTGAATGGTTATACTTTAATAAAATGAATGTATAGCCTACAATTTGTCACGTCGCTACCACCATGATCGTTTCAGATTCACTTTATTAAACCAATTTCTCTGCTCGAAGCCTTGAGTGTTATCTCGATTTTGCCGTTCGTTTCAACCGTGTATGGGTTGATAACCAACCACAGTACAATCACGGATAACATGAATTTCATTAGTTAAGTGTTTCTGACGGAATACATTTTAGATAACTACTTAAACTCTATGGATACTGTTCATAGTTGATAATTGTTGTTGAAATTTCCCTCTAACTTTTATATTTTAAAGTCGTGTATATTTTGCGAAAGAAATCAACGAAGCTCTCTAGCGAACTACGGAGCTTGTATCCAATGTGCGTGGAAAAATTGCCGTTTACACTTCCATGTTTCTTGGTAAGCAATGATCGTTTTCTCACTTTAGCTTAAATTCTGTTTCTTGTGGGATTTTTTTGTTTCTCTTTTTTGTACCATCAGTTAGACTATTTTGTAGAAGCTACTCGTTAATCCACTTATGTTTCACCGGTTTTGAATGATCACATCCTTTTGGGTACTTTTTTGAAACCCAGTACTCTTATCTGTTAATGACTGTGATAGTTTGAATCTCTCTTAATTCACACCTATAATGTTACTGCATAAAATGTTGGAATAATTGTTTCTTTTTTGGTTTTAACTTTGAAGCGGTATTCCCCCATAACTGAGCTAGGGTTGACTAAATGATAATTCACTGCTCCGGTGCAGTTATATACCGTGCGGTGTTTCAAAACTTTAAATTTAATTGATTGCAGACTGGTCTTTATCAGGTTTATTTTCTTGGTCATCCACGAACAGTGGTATTAACTGTGACAACTCTCATGGCAATCATTACTTGTGTACTCGGACCTCCATTTCTCACCACTGATTGACTCTGTATATTTGCCTAGAAAGTTAACCATTTCCTCTGTGAATATCACTCAGTTATCTATAAACCAATTTAGTCATAAAATCCCATTTGATAAGAGAAAGGGGGATGTTGAATATCTATTTAACATTCTCTAGAGAATCAGGTTCATGGATTCAAAAAGATCAGTACAAATTTTTTAGATATTTGAATATCTGTTGATACAAAATTTTATATTAAGGTATTGGACTTCCATCAAAGTCTTGTTATTGTAAGTATTTGAATATGAAATGATATATATGTACTATCTGCGATTGCATAGATTTATATTGTGTTTCCACTTTAAGCCCAACAATAAGTAACCGGGCAATTATTATCGAATTTTATAGCTGCTAATATACATGAAAACTTAACGATAAAATAATTTCAAATGACTCCGCGGACTAAATTTTGTTTATGTTGGTCCGTTTAGTGTTTCTTTATTTAAACATAATTTCTGTGTTAAACGACGTTTTTTTTCCAATGAGTTACTTTTCACCACAGGCATGCAGACTGAATCGCAGACAGCAGTTCTAATGATGCCCTTTTAAAGTGTTTTGCTGATTGTAGCTGCTACTTTGACGCGGTGGTCGGGTTTGCCTTGTATGTGCAATCAGTTGCTTTCAGGGTTCTGCGGTCACACTTCCACGTTGCTAAGAGTGCTATTGATCTAGTTCCCTTGTTAGGTACCTCAAGAAAGTATCCCTTTAAGATGTGTGCAGTTAGGAAGTGATAACCACCCTGACACCTAAAAACATGTGAGATTTACTCGTTTATAATCAAACCCCATTTTTATTACGAAACACTCCTGTTTTCATTATCAACTCTTATTCTTTACCTTCGACTTTTTCCACATGTGCTGCTAGGTCTAAAGATTCGAGTTCCCGAAATGCACTTCGAGATCTGCTGAGACGGCCATCCAAACTATATGTTGAACATGCGTTACGCATACTCAGCTGTCACCAACCCCGACAGACTATGATTACTAGTGTAGTAGGTTAGAAGAAAGTTAGGGAGGTCAGACTAAGATATGAGGTTACTGACAGGCAAAAACACGAAAAATTGGTAAGACGTATGCTAGGACACTGTGAAGACTATATCCCATAGACTGAAAAGTGACGCATATCCTGAAAGGTGTGGGAACAGTTTAACAGACAATGTTTGAGGTACGTGGTTCGAAAATTACGATTTTTCCATATTAACTTACGACAGATTATGATGCGAACTACTCATAATGAGGTAACAAGAAAAGAAACTGGATATTATATATACTTTTTTAGCCACGTCAAAACAACTCAGAGGGTATAAACAGAGAGCTTGACAGTTAGTACAGATAGTAATTGTGTAATCAACTCTAAATGGTTAGAATCTATAAGCAGTGGTGGTATCTTCTGCTTATTCATTGAATAAAGAGTAGACTTTCACACAAGTTTTAATATTAAAACAAGAGCACATTCTAAATCTTATTCCACGGTCACATATTTTGTTTAGTAATATCCATCACATCTGCATTTTACTGGACAACAAGAAAACCCCCTAGAGTTCAACTTAATAATGAGGAAGTTGGAAATATCTTTGAGGGACAACTAGAGAAAGAGATAGTCAACCTTGAAAGTGATATTCACCTCGAAGTACCTTTGTATGGTGGGTAGCAGGAGCGGAAAAAAAAATGGAAAAGACAGTAGTGACAGGCAACAGTGTGAAACTGTTCAAACTGATCAAGGAGACAGGTATTAAGAATCCAGATGTTAGCGAAACTATCTCGGTAAAAGATGGGGGTATCATTCAGTCTCAATTCAGAAGACTGAACTGATGGACAGATTATAAGAACAACGGGCCTATTATAACAAATTAAGTTTAAGTGTAACTCTGTGATGTGAGTTCTCCAACTCTTAGTGAGGTTGAAAAGGCTATAAGTAATCTAAAGCGATGGAGAGCAGAAGGGTCTGATGGTCCAGTTTTAGCAGTTAGGTCAACTAGTCTTTTAGCTAGAATCTGGGAACTGGACGTAATCCTCCGACTGGTCCCAGTCTATAAGAAAGGATAAAAATCCCCTTGTGACAATCACAGAGGAACCAGTTTACCCAATATAGTGTCTAAAATATTAACTTCAATGTTTAACTAGAGATCGTGAAGAGCGAACCCGAAAAAACCGGGCCGATTTCAGACTCGAACGTGGATGCATAGACTAAATATTCACCCTTTGGTAGACTCTAGGACATGAATATACTTCTCGACGTCCGACTCTATTGACCATGAGGTTCTGTGGCAGTGTGTTGTTCAAAGGCGTCCCAAAGAAGTAGATTAACCTTGTACAGGCTCTCTACTCGAACACTGCTGGTCAAACCAAGGCTAATGGCGAACTGCTATTGGAATTGGTTACTTCAAGTGGTGTTTGTCAGGGTTGTTTGGTTTTCCCGTTTCCATTTAACTTTGTCATAGACATGCTTTTAAATACAAAACTTTCATCGTCTGGCTTTTCAGGAGTTGACCTTCGGCCACGAGATTCACTTGTTGACTTAGAATACACAGATGATGTAGTTCTGTTTTATGAAGACGCTAACAAAACACAGTCTTCTGACCATCTTAAGCAACAATGGAAACATGTTTGAGATGGGGTTCTCTCCCTTCAGGCTCAGAATGTCACTTCAGGATTGGCTTGCGTCAGAACCCGAATTAATGATAGGAAGTGAAGTATTTGAACGCATCTACCACTCCGCTTATCTTGAGAGTCTCATCAATACTGATTGTGTGTTGTCTGAGGAAATCCCGTCACGGATTCATAAGGCTCGATTGACTTTCTCTAAGGTGCGTCACTTTCGGCGTAGGCGAGATATCTGTCTTCCTAACAAAGGGGGAGTTCACTGCACACCAGTTTTCTCCGTTCCACTTTATGGATGTTAAATATGGCCATTAGGAATAGGGGATATTCGTAGGTTGCTGGTATTGGACCATAGGTGTCTTCGAAGCATTGCTCGTGTACTTTGGGACCACGGAGTTAGCGATGAGTGGGTTAGGAATAAGCTACTAGGTAAGGATGGGAAGTGGATTGATAAGGTAGTAAATCTCCACTAACTGAGGTGGTTGAGATGTGTTACACATTTCCAACTACTATCTACTTCTACGACCGACGTTTTCGGGTGTAGAAGGAGTCTGGAAGAAAGCTAGTGTTGGCCAAAACAAAACATGGGATCAGTCCCTGAAGTGACTGAAAATTAGACTTAGCAATGTCCATGTGATTATCATAATTAATGGTTGTGGACTATGAATGACATGAGTAGAAACTGTTTGGAATGACACAGATGTATTGGTTCTTTCTCTTTCGCCTTATTCTGCGATTCCCGATCGGTTACAACTTCATTTGTTTCTATATCACTAATTGATATTTTCCTCTCGAATAGTATCTTTAATGTGTAATCTTTTGTAGTACCATTGATACTGCCCATGTCTCTATTATTCTGGGTTTTAGCATTACAATTTTATCTCAGTGGTATTGGCACATGGTGACTTGGATCGATGTACAAAAGTACTAGATTCTAAGTTTAGTCACTGACCGACATTCTTCCCACTTGTCCGGTTCCAATAAGTTTGTAATGGGCTAAAAGACTATAAACATAAACTAACAGTTCGTCTTCGCCATAGCCTAAAATTGAACTTAGGTCGTTCGGTTACAAACTTGAGGTTTGTCTCTTGAATAGATGTTGTAAAATGACCCTATACTTTGATATGAAATTATCACACTCTCTACGTATCATGTGGATGGGATTACAGAATAATCCTGAAAGTTGAAGGAGCTAACCAAGTCCACTTGCTTTATGCTAAACGGTGATCTATGTACAAGTATTCTAGTGCAAGTGCCTAACAGGGTGACATGAGCATGGTACTTTTAGTACCAATGATACTGTTACTGCCTTTATTAGTAGGAGATTTAGACTTACAATTTCATATATATGCTAATGGTATATGGTGACTTGAACCGATATGCAAATGTATCATGTTTAATTTGTGATACCGTGACTGACTGACTTTTATCTGTTTTATTTATAGTTCTGGCGTTTATGCTTATAACATGACCCTTTTTTTCTCTACATTATCTTGAATGTTCAAAGTACATGAAAGTTTTCTCTAATGAATTATGTGTAATAGGACTTATTTATTTCGTAATAGTACGTATATTTACTGTTGATTACACAAGGAAACTTTGAAAATGCCATAACTTGTAACTTAGCAGCTGTTTTTCTTTATCTATGTGCGTCCTAAAATATCTGGTAAGAAAAATGTTTGGTATATATACCGTAATGTCGTAAACATTTTGTTGGACACAACTAATCAGAAGACATCAAAGTATTGTTGCTAGTCAGTTTCGGTCAGTATGAGTTGGTTGATTAGTTTTCACTGTTTCTTCCTCTAATATTAATTCATATTGTTTGTTGCTGTGATTGTTAGAAGGGGAACCAGCCTCGTGACTAACAAAGAATCCTGGCTTTTACCATAAGTCGTCATAATTCTTCTAAACGAAGATTCTTCAAATTCCAGGGTATAGTTTGAGTGCTTTTTTCTGGTTGGCGTTTTTTAGCTAGGTCGGTTTCTCCGGGAGGAGGTTATTGACCCCATACGCTAACCTTCTTTATCCGTACTTGGGATCGCGAGTAGTCCTAGAAAGGCTACAGAAGGAGTTGTTTCTCTCTTATCATACCATTTGTGGCATCCAATAAGTGGAATTTGATCTGACGTATACGTTTATCAGTCTAGGTTAACATTAAGGTAGACAATAAAACTTCAGAAAGTACTAATCAAGTTTGACTAGGTAGAACAGAGGATAAATTAACAGTTGTAATTCTTCTGTAACTTCTAAAAAGTTCATATTTGCTGTCACTCACACCTTATCTGTAGTTGGAACTAACATAAACAACAATAAAGCCGGAAAGTCAAGAATTACTTTTATTGACTCATTTCAAATTACCTAAGTTTCCTACTTACTACTTTGTAGCATCCTTACTATTCAAAAGTCTGTCGTACTCCCCAGTCGTTTTACCATTTAATGTCAATTCTTCCGAAAGCTTACGTCAATAATTCGGTTTCATGACCAGTTATTAGTCGGCTATATCGTATCACTGTACATTACCTATTGTTTAGTATGATATTCATTATTTTACTAACCCATACTTGGTATTACATACTATGAAACTGGAACTTTTATAAATAAGGCTATAACTCAGCAGTTTGAACGTTCAAGTTCCAGCTGTTATGTTATTGATTAAAATTGCTTTTCACCTATCTCTAATATTTGAATAATTCATAATAAGTACGGCTTAATCTCGATTATGGGAACCTGCAATTAATGATTAAGTATCATTATATTATAACCTTAAAGAAAGAGAGTTTAAAATGTCACACATTGTGTCAGTCAGACATATTAACAACAAACCAATCAGGTTGTTAGTGATTTTGTTATCTTTTCATTTTCTATTTGTAAACGTAATAATCGAAACAAATAGAAATATCTATATGTCTATATAAATTTTAACTTTGTTTTACTTCATATTAGCGAGGAACTTCTTTAAGTGAAAGAATTCTTTCTGGTTATATTTTTGCGTACTGAACTGCTTGCTCCATTATTATTATTATTTCACTCTCATACACTAATTTCTGTCCGTTGTTGTTCTTTTATTACACACATTTTACATTCTCTAACTCTTCACTTCCACTGTTATTATGTGGCGCATATGTATTTGTTGCCCCTTCGTACCAATGTTTGTGTGATCAAATAAATAATAATAAATAAATAACATAAATTGTGCTTTTTTCCACTTTTCCTAGTGCTAGTGTAGAAGGTTTACTTAGCGAGTTACCTGCAACTGAAGCGAATACATCTTTATCGATTGCCGAAATATTATTCAAGACAACTGATAAAAATAAACCTTCGCTTAATTTATCAGTTGATTCCGCCGAATTATCTAAAGAAATGAATCATAGTTGTGAACAACAATCTTATAAATATCAATTAAATGGGTTTTGTTGTCCGCAGCATAAAAAGGTATCTTGTGTCTATTTTAATTATTTGAACTATTTAAAATCTTATCCCGTTTTCATCTGTTAATCTACTTTGATTATTATATAATGAAAATTAACTAAAAATACACATAAGAATATCACCTTGTGTTTATTTGTTGTTAATTTAATTTTGAGTGAAATCCAGTAGAATGTATTCACGAGGTATATATGAAATGTTATAGGACTTTAAGATATTTTTAAAAAAGATAGTTGTTAGCACCAATTATCAGGTAGTTTTTTTAGTAACAACATTTCATTTCTGAAAAGCCAGTATTCATGGTTATAAATCTTTAATTATGGATATAAACGTCAACGTTGACAATAATTTCTGTTATATACAATATTCTGTTGCTGTTGTTAGGATGACTAAATTTACTCAAATAATTATCGAAAATAGCCAAGTATATTTTTTTCAAAGATATGGATTGGGAATGACAATGCTCATATGCAGGTCCAGTGACATTTATATTTGCTTAAATGGAACTAAACAATGATTTCTATTTCCTTTTTTAAATTTGTATTACTCCTTATTTCATATGAAAAAAGACTTTTAGTCATATTTTTGGTTTTCAGAAATTCATGTCTGAAGCTTCCAATTCGAACTCATTTCCTGCTATTTCTCACGGGTAAGCGTAAAACACGCTTAATAAGTTTGTTGCATAGTACTGATTTTATTTATTCTTATATATATTGTTGGTTCACATCAGTAATAAATGTGCAGTTACGTTTATCTACTGTTGAAAGCTCCCACTGACTGAGAAACATAAGACAGCTCCGATATTATGAAGTACAGAAACTTGGTGTGGAATATTTGTTACCGTGTTCATCAACTGAAGTGGTTGGGACGTGTTACACATTTCCAACTACTATCTACTTCTACGACCGACGTTTTCGGGTGTAGAAGGAGTCTGGAAGAAAGCTAGTGTTGGCCAAAACAAAACATGGGATCAGTCCCTGAAGTGACTGAAAATTAGACTTAGCAATGTCCATGTGATTATCATAATTAATGGTTGTGGACTATGAATGACATGAGTAGAAACTGTTTGGAATGACACAGATGTATTGGTTCTTTCTCTTTCGCCTTATTCTGCGATTCCCGATCGGTTACAACTTCATTTGTTTCTATATCACTAATTGATATTTTCCTCTCGAATAGTATCTTTAATGTGTAATCTTTTGTTGTACTATTGATACTGTTACTGCCTTTATTAGTGTGAGATCCGGCCTTACAATTTCATATTTATGTTAATGTTATGGTTACTTTAATCGATGTGTAAATGTATCATGTTCTACTTTGTGGTTGACTGTTCAACGACTGTCACTGTGTCGAAAGCTCGTCTCAGGGGGAGGGCGAACGTAGCTTCATTTCAGAATAATGGAATGCTGGGTATCGCATCAGTCAGTCAGTCAGTCAGCTGCAACGTAGGACCAGGCACGTATATGCATCGGTCCAAGTTGCCATACCGCATTAGCACAACAAGATGAACACCGGATTCATAGTAGTTAATTCAGTGGTGGTAATATATAGAAGAAAGATTGTGTATATGGAGATAGTACAGGAAGAAAGAATTAGTTCCTAGACAGATATGAAGCGATTTTAATCTCTTAATTTAAGGAAGACAGAGAGTGTATACACCGACGCCATTGTGATCGATTCTGAGCCATGTCACCAAGAGTCTCCAACCATTGATTACGATAGTCACGCGGACCCCAACCAGGCAGTCTGAATCTCCCAACATGACTCAGACCAGAAGTTAGTGACTTCAAGCATTGATGCCACGTTTTGGTTTGGCCGCCCCTAACTTTCTTCCAATTATCCCCTGCACTAGTCAGCATTGCGCGTCGTGGTAATCGGTGTTCAGGCATACGCAACACGTGGCCCAACCATCTCAGTCGATGAAGATTCATAACCTCATCAACTGATTTACCATCATTCCCTAATACCCTGCGTCTAACCTCACTATTACTTACCCGGTGATCCCAGCAGATACCCGCAATATTTCTAAGGCACCTGTGGTCAAATACTAGTAACTTACGAATATCTTCCACTCTTAAAGGCCATGTTTCGCAGCCGTATAGAAGGACGGAACGAACTGCCGCGCAGTATACTCGTCCCTTAATTGATAGACGAATATCTCGCCTTCGCCATAGATGTTGTAAGTTGGCAAAGGCCAAGCGAGCTTTTCGAATCCGTGCTGAGATTTCGTCAGACACCAACCCATTAGGGCTGATCAGACTTCCAAGATAAGTGAAGTTGCCAACGCGTTCGACTACTTCACCCCCTATCCTTAGTTCAGGTGTTGATGCAGACCAGTCCTGAAGCAACAACTTGCATTTAGAGGGAGAAAAGCGCATCCCAAACAATCGGGCATTGTTGCTCAGTGCTAACAAAAGACTCTGCATTTCGTCAGCGTCTTCACCAAACAGGACTATGTCATCTGCGTATTCCAAGTCAATAAGTGGACCTCCTGGTAGGAGATCAATACCCGAGAAGTCAGTCGATGAGAGCGTTATTTCCATCAGGATGTCTATGATAAAGTTAAACAAAAAAGGAGAAAGTGGACAGCCTTGACGGACGCCACTTGAGGTTGCAAAAGCAGATGACAGTTCGCCATAGGCTCTGACCCGACTAGTAGTGTTCGAGTAAAGAGCCTTCACAAGGTTTATGTACTTCTGAGGTACGCCTTTCAATGACAGACACTGCCACAGAACCTTTCGGTCAACAGAGTCAAACGCTGCTTTTAAGTCAAGGAATACCACCATTGTCGGACGCCGATAAGTATGCCTGTGTTCTAGAACCTGACGAATGTTGAATATGTGGTCGATGCAGCCACGACCAGGTCTGAAGCCAGCCTGATTTTCACGTGTTTGCAGCTCACGAGTTTTAGTTAGGCGTCCGAAAATTATCGAAGCTAGTATTTTAGATACTATATTAGTCAAACTAATCCCTCTGTGGTTGTCACAGGATGATTTTGACCCTTTCTTAAATATTGGGACGATAAGTGATTGTGACCAGTTAGATGGAATAACGTCTAACTCCCAGATTTTAGCTAAAATATTAGTCAACCTAATCGCTAAGACTAGACCACCATCCTTAAAGACCTCTGGGGCCAATCCATCTGGACCAGCTGCCCGTCCTCGTTTCAGATTAGCTATAGCCTTTTGAACTTCAGCTAGAGTTGGGGGACCTACTTCAATGTTCCATTCACACTGCCTGGGAATAGAGGGTAGTTGTAGAGTAGCTGAAGGCCAGCTAAACTGCTCCTTAAAGTGTTCCGCCCATCGTTCTAAGCGTCTGGACTGGGAGCAGATGAGAGTGTCGTCTTTTTCCGAAATGGTCTGACTTACACTTGATTTATTAATTCCAGTTTCTTTTATTAGTCTGTAGAGTTGTCTTGTATTCCCTATAGCCGCCGCCTTTTCCATCTCTTTTGCTTTCGTTGCCCACCACTGCTCACGATCATTCTTTAGACTTTTGCTTAATCTAGATCTGATTTCTTTACGCTCTTCATCGTATTCAGAACCTGATGGGATGAGTTTGCGAGAATCTATCAGTGCAATAGACCTTGACGAAATCCATTGGTTCTTTGTAACCCTGTGGTTTGAATCGCTAGTAGATGTCACTGCTGTTTCCACAGCTGCTTGTATAACTTTCCAAGCAACATCTGGGTCAGTCTCGTTTTCAGAACTACCTAAGTGTGACCTCAGTTGTTCCTGGAACCTACTTTTGGCTTTCTCATTACTCAATTCGGTTCTAATGAGTCTTTTTTGTGTGGCTCTTTTGCGTCCAGTGAGGCGCAAGCAGATGCGTGCTCGTACTAGGGCATGATCAGAGTCCAAGCAGGTACCCCAGAATGAGCGACAATCTTCTATTGACCCTCTCCAACGATGACTGATGGCAATATGGTCTATTTGAGTCCATCGTTGGTTTGGTGCAGGGGGTCGCCATGTTAGACGATGTCTCTCCTTATGCTTAAAATTTGTGTTTGCTAAAAATAAACGATTGTCTGAGCACAGTTGCAGCAGACGATCACCATTATCTGTTCGCTGTGCCGGAATACTAAAATACCCACCTAAATGTCTTTCTGTTTTGTTTAAGCTACCTACCTGGGCATTAAAGTCACCTCCTACGAGTACTATGTCTGAACGTTTAGCTTTCTGAAGAAGTTCAGACAGCATTCTGTAAAATTCATCTTTCACTTCATCCGAACTGCAGTCAGTGGGAGCGTAGGCAGAAACGACGAAAAGGCAACGACGTGTGTCCCTATCCTTCCGAGTTCTTACCGAGCCGTTTAGCCGAACAGCGCATAGACGACTGTTAACGGGGATCCATTCTAATAGCGCTTGTTCCGCCCTCATGCTAAGTGCTATGCCTACACCTGCCAGTCCACGAGAACTAGCCATCGGGTCGCCAGATACACGGAGGGTGTATCTCGTTGGCTCTCCGTTTTGCCGAGGTGAGGTCAAGTGAATGACCACACTAGGATCCTGTATGCGTGTTTCGGAGACACAGCATACATCAATGGTACGAGATTCTAAGGTTTTAGCCAAGGAAGCCTGCTGACCGATTTGGCATAGTGTGCGTACGTTGAAGGCTCCAATGTGTAGTTTGGAGCGAGGTTTCAGTAGACCTGGGACAGTGTTTTGAGCATTAGAATCGTTGGCTGTGGTGACACTTGAGGAGGAAGCTAATAGAGGAAGTTTAGTGTATAAAGTCGATGTAGGAGGAATAATAGGAATTGAAGAGGGAGGTTGACTATGAATACAGTGGTCTTGAGTGCTGTTAGAGGTATGAGGGCGGTTATCACTTCCCGGTTGCCCACACCGTGGAAGGGTTCTTCTGGAGGTACCTGAAAAGGAAATTGGATTAGAGTTGGTCATTGTGACCTGAGAGCGTGACCGCAGTGCCCAAGGGACAGCTGCTTGAGGTCGGTCACACACGACCTTTTTATGAGTGATTTTTGTGTTAGCTCCGTACTTGTTGAGTCCTTACCGCCGGAGACGGATATCCGTGGGATAAGGCGAGGTGTGCATTTTTAGGGTCGACCTTTTCTAACCCCACCCCTCCTTGTGGGAAGGCAGCATCGCTGTCATGCTGGTTGTCTGAAGGAAACACCTTACTGCTGTCACACCTCTGTACAGTCAGCAGTACGACTTCGCCTTCGGACCTTGGTTTTGTTGCTTTTAGTCTTACCGCTCTTCAACCGACCTGTCTGGCATGGTAGGACCTTGAGGAACGGTTGTTCCAGCCAGTATAGCTCAGTTGCTTCATCACGATAGGCAAGCCCGACCACCACGTCAAGGTAGCAACAACGGTCAGGCTGGGTATCACATTGTTATTATTGGACTGTTGAACAAAATCTCTCTGTCTTTTATAAGTGTTAACTCGCGAATATGTTAGTCAAAAATCAAATTTAATCAAACACCTTAACATAAATCCTACTGTCTTCCAAGAATTATGTGTATTATTCACTGGTTGCGAAAAGTTCACACTTATTGTCAATTAAGTTTCATGGGGCTATAATATGCAACAAAAGATTCCATTTTTATTATTTCTAAACTTTGCAATCCGTTATTTAGTGTCCATTTATGCCATAAAATTCATTTTGTTTTCAGTTCATCTAGATAATGAAAATTTATTGTTTTTCCCCTTGAACTGATCACTTTAAACTTATAATAGTATTTCGATATTATTCATTTATAGTAGCGCTGACGTTAACAAAGGATGTAAGTCTCCTACGACTGAATTGTCTTGTGAAGTGAATAACCAACTTCCTAGACGCCGATCTTCCCAGCTGCGTCTTTCTCAGCGACCATATACTTCAGATCCAAACAAAACAGATGAGGGTAGTAACTTCCAAGACGACTTAAAGAGTGATGGAAGGACCACGTCGGAATGCAAGAGCGAATTCAGTCATCAAAGCTCTTCCAAATTACAGAAAGATCAAATTTCTAGTGAAACTCGCTCTCCTGGATCTACAACAACCGACTGCCCAAATGTTAAACGGATCAAAATAGATGTAAACTTAAGTAAAGACAAAATTGGTGAAGCTATTGATACAGAACGAGTTATTAGTAAGTTCTTAGTAGTGCTAAAATGTAACCATAAAGGATTATAGCCCGTGTATATAGATCTTAATAATATTGTCCATATTTTGTTATCTTGGTGGTAAGTAGTCCCAAATTGTATGAAACTCGCATCCTGGGTTCTACTACTAAGCACAATTCATCCGATCTCTTATTTACTTATCCAAGCGCATAAACATTAGTACAAATGGACATCAGAATACTCATATGCGCCACACAATGACAACGAGTTTGTGAAGAGATAGGGAATGTAAAATGTGTATAATAAAGAGAACAACAATGAACATAAATTAGTGTATGCGGGTGTAATAATAATAATAATAATAATAATAATAATAATAATAATAATAATAATTAATAATTAATAATAATGGGAGAACGCGTTCAGTTAAAAAAATACAACCAAAACGGAATCTTTCAGTTAAAGAAGTTCTTCTCACTACTATGAAGAAGTTAAGTGAAAGTTACAACAAAGCCGCCACTGGTTTCTATTCCGAGCCACTGTGTTGAACTGTCTTTAGGAACTCAACCAGGGAGTCGCGAACAGCCGACAGATTCTAGTCCAGTACAACTTTCTTTTATACCACGAAACCATTTGATACACTTGCAACCTCTTCACGTTATCCAGCCAACGCCAGCGTCGACAAATAATGCACGATGTAGAACTCGCAGGATGACATTCGCTGCACATTTCCAAGCTACTGAATTCGGTGTTTCAAGATAGTGACACGTATTGAATTTTCGTCACTGTACCGAGATATATTTTGCAGAACCTCCCCACAAATAACATGTTGTTGATACTGAATGTGAGCAATCCTTGTGCGACAACGATGACCAAACACAAAGTTGCTTGGCATTCCCAACTAAATAATCAGATCACTGCCATTCTTAAAATGGGTTTGAGGCAAGTCATATGGGTCCGGTGATTTGTGGGGCTCCAGTAGTTGGAGTCTTGCAGAACTCATGGGGTCAGTCGACATTGACCAGGGAGGATGGAACCGTTCAGTCTACGTCGCCTGGGCACCAGACCAGTTGCACAGTTCCTCAAAGAAACGTGAATCGTCGAAGGCATCTGTAGATGCTATTGATTGGTGCCCCACCAGTTTCACTGATTGTTTCGCTCACACCCGACTTCTTGCTGCCAGTGGATCGGATGAGTTGAAAGAGCTTCCTACAGTTGCCAGATGCAGCTGCTACTTCCAACTCGTTAGCACGTTCCGACCACCAGGCTTCTCGGTCCTTGCGAAAACTTTGTTCAATTTCGCTACGTAAGAACCTACGTTTATCATAAAACCTGCGGTTACCTGGAGTTGACTGACTTGCCTCATGGAGTTGTAAGGAGTTTGTAAAAACCAAGTGCTTATGAGCGGGACATTTCGATATGCCACAAACGACTGTACTCTCCATTTTCATTTCGTCGTGCAAACAGCTAGTGCCCATCTATGCTTTTCGTTAGGTTGGTAGCTATCCTTCACCTCTCTCGATTTGATATTTAGATACAACAGAAGCTGCGGCCGATTCGCTTGCATCGATCCTTTTAAGACGATGAATTTGTTGGCCACTGAAGTGTAAGATAAGATTTGTACGAAAAAATACAGTGATAAAATGCAGTTTCTTGGTAGCACTCAGTAACAATGCTAGGATGTTTGGAATGCGTTTCTCCCCACTTAAATGCAAGTTGTTGCTTCAGGACTGACCTGCGTGAACACTTGAACTAAGGATAAGGAGTGTGGTAGTCTAACGCGTCGACAAATTCACTTATCTTGGAAGTCTGATCAGCCCTAATGGGTTGGTGTCTAACGAAATCTCTGCACGGATTCAGAAAAGCTCGTTTGGACCGATGCATACATGTGCCCAGTCCCACGTTGTAACTCACCGAATGTGGAAAAGGGCATGGTTAGTTTTGAGATCAGTACTCCCAAAGGTGTCGTAGTCTTGTATACAACCACATCAGCTGTGGCTGATTGCGATGTGATCAATATGAGTTGAGGCTTGAGATGCAGAAGGAGCACATCAGGTAATATATTGGTGATGACTGTTCTGATAGTGCTATCCAAATACATGTCGTAATGTGCGCAAAGTTTCAGTAGACGGTCACCGTTATCTGTCCAATGACTAGCAAGTCACCTCTGGCCACCCAAGTGAATCTACTCTGTGTCTAGATGCCTGACCTGTGCAATCAAATCCTTGGCTAGTACTGCAATGTCTGTCGAACATTTCTTCAAAAGCACTTGATTCATCCTTAATTGTATCCGGGCTTCAATCTTTCAGGGTGTAGGGGGAGGTAACGAGGTGATACCGTTTCCCCCACAGATTTCTCACTTTGATAGAGCTTTATAATTTAAGAGCGCATGATCTGCATTTAATGGGGATCCAATCGATTAGTGTTGCATCAGCTCTAGTGCTTTGTGATATACCAAACACCTCTTCTATCCTTTCAACCGACAAAAAATTCGGAATACGGCGGTTATTTTAAGCATGCTGTAGTGTGCTTCATAAATGATATTTCAATAATTGATGTATCTGTTGCAAGGTAAACTCATTAATTGAGCAGTAATTCGCGCCGTAACCTAAACACCACCATATCTTGAATTCCTGTCTGACACTTTAATGAGGTGAGAGTATTGTTACGGATACATACAGATATACAACTACATTTAAACAACCGGAGACAAATAGATCATATCCATATTAGACATCTCTGGAGAGGCTCGATAGAAGTGTGCTCCTCGTTCTGTAGCATCTATTTAGACTCAGATCACTCTCTAATGAAAGGCTGTGTTTTGACTGCGTCTTACCATGCAAAAAAATCTTACAACAAAACACCCTTCGGAATGAAACGATAAAAACGGCGAATATCCCTTAGGAATAAGTAGAAAAGCAATTGGTTGATCATAAAAGTTACGTTTACTCCAATGTGGCTCGGTATAACATCAAATTAGCTATTAAAACAGTCATGCTTTCTACGGGTGACTTGAACCAAAAGATTAAGAAAGGTCAATCGATTCCTATGGGATATGCTAAACTAGTAGATGTCTGAAAACCCATCCCTTCAGGCTCCAAAGGTATTCTTTTTTACTGTCACTAATAGTACTATCACTACTACCACCACTTTGGTATTCATTTCTCTGTGGTGGTGTGGTGTAGCAAATGAGGCTGATTCACATTTGCGCCAAGTTCTACGTTGCTTATGATTCGCTGGTTGATCAGCCATGCAGAAACAAGTGTGTGTAGGTTTCACAGCCTTAGTGTTGAATTACATTTAGAAGGTATTGTATATCTTATATAAAAATTAGCGATATATTTTGTCTATAAATTTATGCACATCAATTTTTTCACTTTTAGGAGTTTCCCATTTAATCGGAAAACTAAGCAAAACTATTGTGAAATAAAGCTTTCTTATCTAATTTTTGTCTCGATAATGCAATTAGAAGACGAAGTGTATCAGAATTATGTGATATATTTGCGCAATACATTTCGAACAATCTGATCACACATATACTTGTTAAGACATTTTTATATGGAAATTAAAAGGTCAAATAGACATGTTAAATGTAAGCCGTAATAAAGAAAAAAACTAATATTAAAGTACACACAAAACAATGTGATTACCACTCTGGATGATAAACCAGTATTACCGGGGTAGGTTAAGTGTAAGGACAAATTGGTTTTGAACGCATAAAGGGGGTGTCAGTTTCCGTATAGCCAAGGCTTCAATAAACCTTAGTATACGTCCTTGAAGGTTTTCTGTATAACACTACAAGTGCTTACTTGATGTCAACCTTATGGCCAGTCTCAATCAAATGCTTAGCAATGGAGGATGATGTCTGCCTATCCTGTGATCTTATTTGACCATATAAAAATGTCTTAACAAGTATATGTGTGATCAGATTGTTCGAAATGCGTTGCGCAAATATATTACATAATTTTGATAAACTTTGTCTTCTCATTGCATTTATCAAAGGGACTAATTGTTTTAATTTTTGTCTGTTAATTTAATTAACTGTTGGTGTATATAGTACTATGAAAGTTTTGAATATTACCTTGCTTTCATTAGAACAAATCATTCCATTTACACAAAATAGTTTAATTTTAATTTCCCTTGATCTCCATGATTGTACAGCATCTCCGTCATCATCAGCAACAACAAACAATCACTCGGCTGTGACTAGTACAATTTTATCATCCCAAAGTTCCGTTACTGATTCCACTATCCCTGTAACTTCTCAGGAAAATTTACCTCTAATACTACCGCGTCGACCTTTATCATTACGTGGTTTAGGCATTTCTTGTAATTCGAAGAATAGTTCAGTTTTAAATAATATAGCTGGAATGTATGTTGACTCACCACTGGCGCCTACAAATAAAGTCTCAATCTCAGCAAAATCCGATAATTCATCACCACCTACATTAGCTACAATGCATGATTTGTTAGAATGGCAATGGGATCAAGCTGGAGCTTTACTAATGCAACAGGCAAAAAATACAGATGGTATGTGTTATCAATTGATTATTGTAATATTTTAGAAGAAACTTTTCTACCGTATGTATATTTATACATATCAAAATGAATGACTGCTTTATTTCAGTAGTCGATTTCACTTAATTTGTTTGGGTTTTCAGAGAATTTATCAGGTATCTTTAAATATGTACTGTTTACACTTTAAAATAATTTTAGTGTTGATAAAATTGATACATCTATAATATGGATAAATGCTTTATGACATGGTCTGAAGCTAAAATCAAGATGTAATGAAACGAAATTGTACTACTGTACTATTAAAGAAATCTAAAAGATTTCCATGATTAAATTTATGTCGTTGTTCATTAGATCCTAAGATGTTGATCCCATAGGCTTTTCAAAATCAAATTTTTGTTGGAAAATGATATTTTATTCTTTACAAAGTGAGAAATTAAAGTTTTATTCACATCTACTGACCAATTATTAGATAGTTTTAGGTATGGATTTTACCTGATCGGGTTCTCTTCCTTCAGGCGCAGAATGTCACTTCAGGATTGGCTTGCGTCAGAACCCGAATTAATGATAGGAAGTGAAGTATTTGAACGCATCTACCACTCCGCTTATCTTGAGAGTCTCATCAATACTGATTGTGTGTTGTCTGAGGAAATCCCGTCACGGATTCATAAGGCTCGATTGACTTTCTCTAAGGTGCGTCACTTTCGGCGTAGGCGAGATATCTGTCTTCCTAACAAAGGGGGAGTTCACTGCACACCAGTTTTCTCCGTTCCACTTTATGGATGTTAAATATGGCCATTAGGAATAGGGGATATTCGTAGGTTGCTGGTATTGGACCATAGGTGTCTTCGAAGCATGGTGTTCACTTACCTTACATTACAACACCAAATATTTTCAAACTGATAACATCAGTCCTGTAACAATTGTTGAAGTAATGGGATAGTAGTATTTCCCTGATCTATCACCTTCGAAATGTAATGTATGACAATCTATTTGCGGTATTTTACAGCTGCTTAAATAAAAGAAAATTGACATCAAGATGAAAAGCAGGTGGGTGTAAAGAATAATCCCAATAGCGGATGAAAACTAAACATAAAAAGAATGCAATGAGAAGACGAAGTTTATCAGAATTATGTGATATATTAGCGCATTGCATTATGGAAATTTATCAAAGGGACTAATTGTTTTAAATAAAAAGAATGGCTTGAACCAATCAGGTTTTCTAAAATCAGTAAAACAAAGTGTCGGTTGAATCGATTTTGATAACAACATAAAGATATTATATTTACGTGGTTCTGTTCTCTTGAAACTTCCCACTAATGTTTAGAACTGAAATTGATCAGTCTTTCATTGGTATATATGCGTATTGCTTAGATATTGCTTTAATTCACAAGCGTTATAAGCAAACGCTCAGTATGCACACATGCCAATAAGAGACTGATCAGTTGCGGTTCTAAACATCCATGGGAAGATTCAAGTAAACAATACCAAGTGAATTTAAACTTCGCAGCATTGTACAAGCAAGTGGCTATCAGGACTCAGTAGTTAGGCGGCTAACTCGATGGAGTACGAAATTCCATGTACGGGGTTCGAGTCCCAAAGTGAACATCAACTCTGAGATGCAGGTACATCCAGCTGACGTGTCTTAAATAGGACGAAACGCGCGTCCTGGATTCCACTGCTAACCACTATCCATCTTTGCTTATAAAGATATATTATGTTGCAAACCAATGCGTTAATTATTTTCAAGTGTTCGGCTGCTTACATAGTTTTATTTAAAAGACATGTTATATGACGATCGATTAAATGAAATCTTGAGAATTGATATACTTAGTTTCTATTTCTTCCCTGTATTTTTGTAATTGAGGTACTTCGGTAACTTTATAATGTATTGACGGTTTTGAAAAACGGGTTAGACTACTGCAAAATCTGAGTCGAATATAGAATATTAATTTATAGTCCTATCGAACTACTTCCAACTTACGCCTGTTACCACTCGTCGAGGAACATAGGCCACCTACCAGCATTCTTCATCCAACTCCATCCTAGACAGTCCTTCCCAGTTGATATTCATCCTTTTGATGTCTGCTTCCGATTTCAGACTCAATATGTTCCGCGGTCTTCTTCTTTTCCGTTTCCCTTCAGGATTCCGAGTTAAGATTTGTCTCGTGATGCAGTTTGATCATTTCCTATCCATCTTCATCATATGTCCCTAATTTCTTCTCCAGATGGATGTTTGCTTGTTCTCTCTCACAGTAGGTTGTGGCTGATAGTATCCGGTCAACGGACGTTGAGTATCTTGCGTAGACAATTGTTTAGAAATACTTGTACCAGTTTGATGATGGTTGTAGTAGTTCTCGAAGTTTCAGCTCGTACAGTAAAACTGTCTTGACGTTCGTATTGAAGATTTTGAGTTTGATGTTGGCTTACAGACAGTTGTTTTGACTTCCATGCGTTCATCTAATGTAGGAATGCTACTTGTGCTTTGCCAATCCTTGCCTTTCCGTCTGCATCAGATCCTCCTTGTCCATCGACAATGCTTCATAGGTACGGGAAAGCTTCCACTTCATCCACAGTTTCTCCATCAGGTGCGATTGAATTGGTGTTCTCCATGCTGTGTTTAGGATCTTTTTCCTTGCATACGTTGAGGCCTACTGATGTAGAGCCAGCTGCTACACTGGTTGTCTTTATCTACGTTTGTTGGTGTGTATGGGATGGAGGAGCTAGGTCATCTGCGAAGTTTAAATCGACTAGTTGCACACAAGCTGTCCATTGTATTCCGTGCTTCCCCTCAGATGTCCAGGTCTTCATAATCCAGTCAACTACCAGAAAAAATAGAAAGGACGAGAGTAAGCAACCCTGTCTGTCTCGGGTCTTCACTTGTAATGCATCTGTCAACTATCCTATATGCTTGACTTTGCAGTGTAGTCTGTCATATAAATTCCGTATGATGTCGACGATCTACTCAGCTACTCACACCATTGTGTCGAAGAATCTTCCATGAGGTTCTCCTATCCTCACTGTCAAATTCTTTTTCATAGCGAAGAAAGTTGATGTACAGTGACGAGTTCCATTCAATTGATTGTTCAACGATGATCCGTATTGTCGCGATTTGGTCTGTGCACGACCGACCCTTACGGAACCCGTTCTGCTGAGACCTATCTCCAGAGCGATCTGTCAACTACATCCAACTACCTAATATTGAAAAATAATGCATGGAGTGTCAAGTCACTGATACTAGTAATTACATTATACCTTGATCATTTTAATTCATTTCACACTAAATTATAGATAAACATCAAATTGACCTCCAGTCAGTGATCAGCTAGTGTTAATATTTTAAGGTAGAAGATATGAACTATTTATATTTCTAATAATTCCGCATAATTTAATGTAAAGGCATGGCTCATTGGTTTAAAAAATCGGATTTTTAGCTTACATTCCCCAGTCTGCATGCATCAATGTGTAAGTTATAGGATAATTCAGTTAATTTCGATAATCTGTAGTTGATTTATCATTACTGTTTGTGTAGACGCCTGTAATTTCCATATTCTGTATATTATACATAAACTTTAGTTGTTACCTTATTGGATTGTTTGCATCAATTAAAATGTGAAAATGATATTCTTGAAGCTAAATTAATTCGTCTTACAACAAGACATGAGCATTTGAAATCTGTGAATGCTCGTTTGTCTGATTCACTTGCTACAATGGAATCAACAATGGTAATGAACTCTCCGAAACATGAAATTCCCGAACAAAATTCTACTGGAGTCAATAATCTTACAAAAAAGTCAAATCACCATTTTGCTTATCCCTTGGATACTAATACTGCCATTACTTCTAATATAACGACCACTACACAGAGTTCACATATGTCTACAATCTTACAGTCTATTGATCAGGAATCTCATCCACTTCAGTTATCCGAAAATGTTACTAAAAGTTAGTTATTTGATTTTTGTTAGTAGTATGTATATTGTTGAATTCATAATTTTTGTTAGTTTAAGATAACCTTATTTTTTTCGTTCATTTTGTTTGAGTCGAAAATGGTAGTGATAGATAGTTCATCTAATTATAACATGGTTTAATCGAGTTATTATTATTATTATTATTATTATTATTATTATTATTATTATTATTATTATTATTATTAATGTCTGTATTCAATATTATATTTTTGGTGCAGTATAGAATTCTCAGCCCAAAGTATTTCAAGAAGTTTTTTGTACAAAAAGGTGAAGAAAAATTGATAACTGTATACATATATATAACAGTTAATCAAATAACTTATATAGATAGACTACCTGGAATTAAATGAATGTTTCTTTTAAAAGATGATTTGGGTCTGTACAACTTTTATTTAGAAACATGTTTAAGAATACGAGTTATTTACTAGGTCATACCTAATAATCTGTTCGTCACATATGATATTTGCTAAATAAGTTATTGAAGAGCCTTTATGCCTTATATTGTGTGCGTGTATTGTACTGTATTGACGTCTCGTTTTATCAGAAGATATACAAGGAGAAAGATATATATATATATATATATATATATATATATATATATGAAGTAGATGATTGGTATTATTATTATTATTATCATTTGAACACATAGATATTGGTACAAGGAGGCACCAAATACATATGCGCCACACAAATCTCATTTGATTTGTGTGAGGGCTGTGATACTGCTCGGGTGCCCAAACCGAAGCAGATGGTTGTCTTAGGGGGCCACACTCGGACCATTTGACCTAAAGGTCTGATCCACAAGGTAGTGGAGCATCGTAAGGAGATGCAGTCCCATGATAGCCGGTAACCAATATTTGGGTCATACGCTATTTGTTCCTTCAGGATACTGGATACAGGAGGACTATTGGTTTGGAATCAAAGTTTTCCAACTCCCCTAGATGGACTCTCCATGTCCACCAACCCGGATAAAGCGCCGGACATTCGCTCTTCGTCCTCTCAATTTTGTAAACAACACCCTCGTCACGAGAAGGCAGTGAGTAGGACTTCCCTGGCAGAGGCTATATTCGCGTGGCCATGTGAGGGCATTTTGAGAGGGTGAGCGGTCCCTCCCTATTCTCGGCCGTACCAGGGAATGTTGAATGTTTATCTACAATCATATTAATAGCCCCCAAATGTCTTGGTACGGCCGAGAATGAGGAGAGTCCGCTCATTCTCTCAAAATGCTCTCACATGGCCATGCGAATATAGCCTCTGCCAGGGAAGTCTTACTCACTAACTTCTCGTAGCGAGGGTGTTGTTTACGAAGTCGAAAACAAAAAGCGAATTTCCGACGCTTTAACCGGGTTGGTGGACATCTAGGGAAGTTGGAAAATCCCGGTTTTAAACCAATTATTGGTCACCGGCTACCATGGAACTGCATCTCCTTACGATGCTCCACTACCTTGTGGATCAGACCTTTAGGTCAAAGGCTCCAGGTGTGGCCCCCTTAGACAACCATCTGCTTCGGTTTGGGCACCCGAGCAGTATCACAGCCCTCACACAAATCAAATGAGATTTGTGTGGCGCATATGTATTTGGTGCCTCCTTGTACCAATATCTACGTGTTCAAATAATAATAATAATAATAATAATAATAATAATAATAATAATAATTTCAACAGGCTCACCAAACACTGATAACTGCCTTCAGCACTCTTCGCAACATAGCAAAGTCTTTTCTCAAAAGCTGGGGAAAGAGCAATAGTGAATAGTAAAGAATAATATGATTTTTGGTTAAATTGTGTTTGGTTAACTGAGTATGCAATCGCATAACTCTTTTGCCACTGCTCTGAACAATACCAACGAATATTTCACATAAAAGTGAGCTAATTAATCGTTCTACAAATGGTAAATCAATTCATTCTGTCGAACTTTCGTTTTTGAATTGTTCTTTATCTTCATTCGTTTGGCCATTCTTGTTGACTGACTTGTTCGGTCACCCTATAAACATGTGATTGATTGACTTTTTACGTGTAGGATAATAGACGGGATCTATATTGGTGTCTTTTTCACTTATTCTCTTTCATTCTTTAAATTTTATCTACTCAAAAGTTTAACATTTTCTTAATCAAATTCATATTTGTACATTAATGTTTGTGATAATATAACATGTCGTGTTTCACTGTTAGTGTATTTGTGTATACGCGAACAAAAGAGGTCCTCATCCTATCCAATATATTGCCTGTCTCAGGTGATGCAACTTATTTTGTGAACAATAATGTATTTATATTCTTTCGCTGTGTACGATGAAAAAAATGGCTGTCTGTTAGCGAGTAACGTTAATTTCAACAGGCTTTAAGAAGTTTCACGTTATTTCTGGATTGGTTTTTATACGCGGTAGAGTAGTTTTACTTTCGCAAATAATCTTATGAGAGTACCTCAACTTGTTAAACACTTTTTGATGGAGTTTTCGGTGTAACCATTTTTACGGAAAACAGAAAATATGCTTCGTTTTTTTCGTGTACTCAGTGTACTGGGAGAAGTCTTGATTCTTCTGAATAACGTCTTTACACAACTCATCTTGGAAACTTAGTTTTTTCTGTTGTATTTGTAGTATGTGATCTATATAACTTGATTTCCTGTATGCCTGTATTTACCATACTGGTTAACTGTTGATTCTTCTGTTGTGAAATGTTGTCAACCAGTCTACGAGTATCTTTAAGCCTTTGTCTTCAAGATAACAACCGTGTCATTTCGTAACATTAAAATCTTTGTTTTATTATCGGTAGGACTGTAGCTTTCGGTCTTTACATAACTTCTTTTTACAATTAAAATTAATAGAAATACTGTCAGTTAGTTTTCCACTGACCTTTCGAATACATAGTGAAATTCTAATACATTTTTTTATCGTCATCTAAATAGTGTTATTATCTCTTCCTCATATACATTAAGTGCTATTCACAACTGCCAGCATTAACATAGATTTAAGGGAATAAGTCGTATTTATTTTGACAATCTGGAAATGATAACGTGCTCATTTATAGATTGTAGGGTTTTGTCATATCATTTGAAACTTATTACAAGCTAATAACATTAAGAATTTGTATTTCTATATAGTGGAAATTATTTCATCCTTTTTTGGTCATTTTATTAGTTCTAATCTGTGAAAGTAAATACATCTAGTTTTGTATATACACTTTTAAGGTTACATCTATCCTGTTCTCATGTATGATAGAATTTCGTTTTTTATTTGATATCCCCCAAGTTGTTTCATCATCTAACGATGATTATTTATAACTTGATAGTTACATGAAAATCTACTAGTTTTTTAAAAGCTCTTTCTATGCATTATTCATTTTGATTTCTAGCATTATTTATGTATTCTCTTACTGAATTGTTGAAGATTTTGTAGATTATTTCTTACAAACAAATGTTAGGGGGATTTTAATTGCTAGCTGATATTAACTGAGAAACTAGTGAAGTATCTTATTCCTAGTTCAGGAGTCTTCAAACTTGCATATCCATGATTGTAAATTGTATCTAAATTTCTTGATGAACACAATATTCATAGACCTTTGAGCCAGAATCCATTGCTCAACATCTACAATTTTAATTGAATTGGTTGTAGAGCATAACCTTCAAGCAATATTATCTAAAATTTACTGTCTTATTCCGGACTTTATTTATTAGTTCTTATAGCTTCCTAATGGAGAGTTTCAGAAAATTGTTACTGAATTTACTCAAAGTTAGTGAATACAGAAATATTTTTAGTTTGACGGTTTTGAGTTGGATTTTTTATGTTTGCTTTACAATCTCAATCGAAAAATCTTGGTAAACCCGGACTAATTTTTACATAATTGTTTACCATTCTGATAATATTAGATATCATTTATTTTATCTGATATCATTATTTTGATTGTTGTGTTAATAATCAGTATTTTACGTGTTTGTACATGTAATTACATTTTGTATTTATTTTGACTCAAGATTCTTCGAATCAATCTGTCACATTGGTCAACAATTACAATGATCCATCTTTTGCAAAATATTCAACTAACGCTAATAGGAAAGTTCCAATTCTACCGAAAGACTATGCTACAAATTGTTCCAATTTGAATTTAAAACATGATTCAACAAATCTTATGGATAATCTAGGATCATTTGATAAAATTCACTCAACCAATTGTTTAAATCATACTCAACCAGTATTTTGTACATCATTAGATTATTCAAAGTCTTCACATGAATCACATTTAAGTTATTCAAATTTAATAAAACATCAACCGAATACATTTCTAAATGATTCTTTCACTCCACATAATAATAATAATAATAATAATAATAATCAAACTAGATCAACCTTTGACTATCTATCCAGTTCATGTTCTTCTTCTACGTTACCGTCAACAAATCCTACATATTTTACTAAAAGTGTTAATCATGATGATTTGGTAAGTATTTAATGTTTGAGTAATAAGTAAATTTTCATCGCTTCATATTATCATTTACATACTTTGTCCACTGCTCACTGTTGAATAGTTCCATACTAGGACGAAATGTCCGTTTAGTGCTTCCAGGTTTTCAATGGTCGATTTATGATTTCAATTAATAATAGTAATAATCATAATAATAGTCCTTTGCCAGCCAAAAAGTGTATTTACTCATTATTGAGCTATAATTACTGACAGTGTATGCGAACATGTGATTCACTGATTAAAAGTTGAATGATTTTTATCCATTAGGTTTCTGTATAAATCAATTAACTATAGATTAGTTGAATTCTTTTACTGTAAATAATGTTTTCCAGATTGTAGAAATTTTCAGTAATTTTCCTTGTTTTACAATATATCTTTTAGTAATGTGATGTATATTGTTTTTCCTGATCATCTTTATTTTGTTCATACCTTCTAGTATTTTTCATATGTTTAAAAATGTCTAAGCCAGTAGATATGTGGTCAGTTTATCCCCTCATTGAGTTATGTAATCATTTGTTGTCAAATAAATTGACTCAGTGACACTATATTTATTCGATATTTATCATATAAATCCTACCTTCGATTTCCTGTAATATATATTTTCCTACCCAGTTCATCGACTGGTGATCTTGTATCTCCCTATAACCCCACTCCATTGTGATTTAGTAAAGGTTTGCTTAAATAAACTTATCAATCCAGTCATCATTTCACTTAATTTTGTTTAGATCTGATCAGAATTACTGTTTTTTTGTACGTTCCTATCTTTTTGTTTACGTTCTTTAGCCATCTATTGAATTTCTTCCAGTCTTTGTCACATTGCTATTGATTTTAAGAAACGTGTAACAATTTGAATTAATGCATGTTTGTTCTTGATCCTTTTCTTTATTATTTCAATTTAAGTTAATCAATCTGTTTATAAAGTGAATTGGGTTTTAATTAGTTTATGTAATAAACTCATTAAAACTATTCATACGGAAATCTTCTAATCTAATCAGAAATACGATTAATCGATTCGTGTAAATGATTATTTGTTTCGAGTTTAAAGTGCCCTGGTACGGCCAAGGATATGGAGAGTAAGTTCTCCTTCTCGAAATGCTCTCACATGGCCACGCGAATATAGCCTCTGCCAGGGAAGTCCTACTCACTGCCTTCTCGTGACGAGGGTGTTGTTTACAAAATTGAGAGGACGAAGAGCGAATGTCCGGCGCTTTATCCGGGTTGGTGGACATGGAGAGTCCATCTAGGGGAGTTGGAAAACTTTGATTCCAAACCAATAGTCCTCCTGTATCCAGTATCCTGAAGGAACAAATAGCGTATGACCCAATTATTGGTTACCGGCTATCATGGGACTGCATCTCCTTACGATGCTCCACTACCTTGTGGATCAGACCTTTAGGTCAAATGGTCCGAGTGTGGCCCCCTAAGACAACCATCTGCTTCGGTTTGGGCACCCGAGCAGTATCACAGCCCTCACACAAATCAAATGAGATTTGTGTGGCGCATATGTATTTGGTGCCTCCTTGTACCAATATTTATGTGTTCAAATAAATAGATAAACAAAGCTATTTCGAAATCAATAATCTTTCTTTATTTTGCAAAATTAATGATAAACTGCAACCTGTAATTTGAAATATATATCACAGTTTAATTAGTTCATTTACCAGTTTAAAAAAATCAATCTCATAATAATTATTTTAGTCAAGAATTCATGCATAGTTATACTTTATTTATTTACATTTTTATAGTCATAAATACTGTAAATTGGGTTTATGGCGAAGTAACCACCTCAATTGCCTGAGGCCTTTATATATTACACCATTTAGTTAACTGCTATCAATCCGGTGTTCGTCTTGCTCAGCTAGTGAGGTGTGGCAACTTGAACGGATGCATGTATGTGCCTGGTCCTACATTGTAACTGACTGAGTCATAAATACTTTTAACCTTTTTTTTACATTAGACTACTGTCAAATTACTTAATTAATTTGTATTTCTTTCAGATGTAGTATGTTAAATATTTACGTTTAATTAAATACTGAAAAAATTTATTATATGTATAGATATGTACCTGATTCTGTTGTTAATCATATCTTTATTTATAGATTATTTATGCCTTCAGGTTTTTTTTTTCTGCATCCGATGTAAACTTTCCTACATTTCTCATTATCACATTTACTCTCAATTGCATATCAACCTTACACATGATGTAATACTACTGAGTATATCACTAATGTTTAACAACTACACTTTAAATTCTCCACTATTACTAAGGCTTATTTTGTTTATAATCACGAACTATAACATATCATTGAGATATTGTGCTTTCCTACCAATTTTTTCGTTTTATTTCTATCTTCGTCCTACAGCAGGAACTAAGCGCTCGTTTAAGTTCAGCAATAGCTGCTCGACAACCTCAGTCATCAAAAAGCACTAGTTCAGCTATGCCTTCATGTCCTGCGTTGACTAAGAATTCTGGTCAAAGCAAAAGAAACAGCAAAGTTGTTACATCTACTCAACCATCATCTTCAAGTAAATTGCCGATACCTCCGTTAAATTCTGGTTCATTGGTCAATTGCATTTCGAAATTAGACCCATTAACTAGCTGTCAAAATTTCTGTCATACGAATTCGAATAACATGCAACCTACAACATCTAATAATTCAACTATATCATCATATTCCAGTGATCAAGTTTCTATACAATCACAAAGTAACCCTTTATGTAAGTTTATCCACTTCAGAATTGTAGTGTTTGACGTTATTGTACTATGTAATTCACCTAAATACATCGAAATAGCTTCTTATGTTGTTTAAAAATGTTTCAGATTCTGACCTTCAACTGTGGTTTACGGTGTTCATGATTACATATTTGTATCCCTTGGTTAGTTCTTTTTACAGCAAATGTAAGACACCGACGTACTATAGATCCGACCTTTTACAACGGGATCAATATTAAGAAGGGGTCGTAGATGGGTCAGAGTGTCACAAGCCACTCTAAGCTTCACACTATACGTGAATTGATATCATCACTCACGCCACCATCAGCACTTAAACAGCAACTTGGATACTCCAACTTCTCGACTATTTTTAACTACTGACTATCAAGAGTGAATGCAGATTTTGGGGTTCTGCCAGTCTTGTAAAAGTATTTTTCAATTAGAAGGTCCAAGGTACTTGCTCCGTACCTACGTTCACTGCCAACTGATTAAGTACGAATTGCATGACTTGGGTACACCACACAGTAAGGCAATATCGTCCGCATACAGTATGTCGAAAAGTCTTTCTCAAAGCAAAATGTACACCACCATTACCTACATCCATTAGGGCTGTTTCCCGAAAGTCGTCAATGGCAAAGTTGAAGACAGTTGGTGAGATTGGGCAATCCTGTGTAATCACACTGCTTGAAACAATGGAGTGCGGTGTTTGTACACCCCCACTTTCCCTTAGTTGTTGTATGTAGGGTCTTCACGATGTTGATACAATCCTTAGATACACGCTTGTCCAACAGATAATCCCAGAGAACAGTTCTGTCCAGCAAATAGAAAGTAGACCCTATGTCAAGAAATACGTACCAGTAAGATAATTTGATAAATTGTTAATTTCTTATCACTAATGTTAATAAACTATAAAAATTCTACAAGGATTTCATTGTTCGCAATTTTTACAACGTATCTAACGGAGAAGTAGACAAATTGTTTCAGTTGCTGAAGGTTGGGTACACTACCATCTGTAGAAATGTATTTGATCGTTTTTCTCACTGGGCGTTTTTCAGTGGTTATTCAGGTGGTCTTATTATCATGCACTTATTCGTCTTTTAATTGCGTTTTGACGAAAAGCTGTACTTCACTTTGCAATCAAGTTTCTCGTAATTGTTTTTATTTTATTTATATCACTTATAAGACTGCGAAAATTCAGCCTAGTATATGTAAAGAAAAGGAAATGTATATATGTTAATTTCTTTTCAGTATATAGTTGTATTGTCTTTATTTGTATTCATTATAAAGTTTCATGTCTGTTATAATTTACTCAATCACTCAGATTAAGATATTCACTCTTAGCTTAGTATCTGAATTCTAACACCATTTTAAGCATTGATTCTCATTTTTTCTTAGGACAATCAACTGTCATTAAAATGATATGTAATCGACTTTTAAATTTCCTAAAAGTCATATCCCTAATTCATACAACACTGAGAGGTGAAATTTAATTGTCCTTCTTGAATTCAAATTAAATTATCATTTACCACTATACTGTAGATAGAAAACATTTTCAATTGTAGAAAACAATCAATCTATTGAAATCATCCCATGTACATTCATTTTCATTTCATTTTAACACATAAGTATAGGTACAGGGAGGCACCAAGTACATATGCACCACACGAATCTCAATTGATTTGTGTGAGGGCTGTGATACTGCCTGGGTGCCCAAACCGAAGCAGGTGGTTTTCTTAGGGGACCACACCCCGAGCCTTCGACCTGAACGTCTGATCCACAAGGTAGTGGAGCATCGTAAGGAGATGCAGTCCCATGGTAGCCGGTGACCAACGATTGGTTCATACGCCATTTGTTCCTTCAGGATACTGGAGCCCATGTGCACCATTGGTTTGGGGTCCGGTTAAAGCGCCGGAAATTCGCTTTTCGTCCTCTCATTTTTGTAAACAACACCCCATGTACATTAAATTTTTACCATCGTTTCGCTATCATAACATAAATTACCTATACTTTTATATAATGTTTAACCACTACGTTTTTGAAGTTTGATTTATGATAATTTCATTGTTGACTGAATAGTCAACAGGATATAGGAATTGATATGATAGTCGTAACTTATTTATTTATTATGATTTTATGACTCATGATTATATTTCATTCTCTCCATTCTCTATTACTAGCTTTTATGATATTTACATCACCAACAGTTTCAGAAATACATAATCATAGTACTCAATCTTCAACAAATCAAACAATTGTTACATCTAATGAATTAAATACTTTTGATTCATCAATACTCGTAGCAACTAATTCAAATTCAGTTAGTCTATCAAATGATTGTAAAACAACTTTAACTCATTGAATAATTTAATCCGGAAAATTTTCCTTTTTTTTAAAAAAAAATATTGTTTTATGCTTATTTATAGTTGATGTTCAATTTTCAAGTTTGCTTTTTTCTTCTTCGTTTTCTAAGTGGTAGTATGTTGTTGTTTATTTGTTTGTTTATTTAAATTTTATTGGCGTCATGTAAACGTGAACATTTTTTTTTCTTTTTAGAAATTTAAAATCTGTATTATTCAAATAACTAAAAGTACATATATATCATATTAGGAATTTTCTAACTGTTTAGTATCGTTTTCTATTGTATTATTCCTATTTCACTAATTATATCATCATTAAAAATCTGTTATTAGGATATATTTATTTAAGGAAATTATCTATTGTCTTTTATTAAAAAGAAATATTTGTTTATTTGTTTGTTTTTTGTTTTTATATTTAAATATGCACTCAATATAAAATGACTCAATAAATGTATTCTTTTCTCCTTTTCAATATGGCAGCCATTCTAAGCAGAGAAAAAATAAAAATAAAAATTCAAACAGTTCCTGTTAAAAATTAAACTATGTTTTTCCTCCATTTGTATTTGTTTTTGATATTTCTATTATGATTATATTATTACATCACTTCGTCTTTTTTTTGACGAATGATTTACAATTAGGTTTCCTAGTTGTTTCATATTATTAATTATTAGTGTTATTTTCATTTTAAATAAAGTATCTTGTAATGAATAGGATTTTTCAAATAATCATAGGTCCAATTATAACTGTTGTTATAATGTTGTTGTAACATTTGAATTGAAATACGCTTTTGAAACATTGAACATTTTTTTTGTTTTTAGAAATTCATCATTTAGCACATTTAAGTTACTTATTTATAAAATATAAAAAAATTATTTATCTTCTTTCTTCTAATCTACTTCCATGAGAGAATTCGGTTAGTTATGCGATAAGGAGTATATTTATTTATGGTTTTATTGTTTAGAATATAACTGATTTATTTACAGTTTATCCTATGATTATCTCTAAATTGTAGGAGCACATTGTAAGGGGAGGGGGTTTTTCCTATTTAAACTTGATTGAATAAAACGTGATAGGTCAGATTCTAGTTAATTGTAGACTCTTGCTATGAATATTTCTGTATTATGACTGGTAGTATTATATTTTTAACCGTACCTAATCTGAAGTAATACATCAGTCAGTCAACTACAACGTAGGACCAGGCACATATGTGCATCGGTCTAAGTTGCCATACTTCATTAGCACAACACGATGAACATCGGATCCATAGAAGTAGTTACTTTGCTGGTAGTAATATATAAAAGAAAGATTGCATATAAGGGCATAGTACAGGAAGAAAGTTATAGAGCAATTTTAGTCTCGTAGTTTAAGGGAAGACAGAGAGTGTATACAGCTACGCCATTGTAATCGATTCTGAGCCATATCACCCAGAGTCTCTAACCATTGGTTGTGATAGTCACGCGGACCCCAACCAAGTAGTCTGCATCTACCAACATCAAGTTGAAACAGTTTTATGGTGAAGTACACGTAAAACCGTATTTGAATCTTTAGCTTACTACAATATGTTCGACTGTCATAAACACTTTATGCTACTCAACAAGGGTGTTATGTATTACCTTCAGTAATTGGGAGATTGGTTAGATAATACTCATGTCCTTCATTGTCACTTTAACTGAACAGCTCTCTGTAATTATTATAACTTAACTCATGATTTCCGATTTCTTATAGTCAGGAACCTTAATCAAGGGAGTTTCGCATGCTTTATACCGCTGTAATTATTCATACTGGCTGATAGGCACCTTCAACTTACTCTGAATTTTAATGTATATTGATCTGTCTACTTCGGGTATTCAAATTTTTCTAATCAGTCATTTATCATCACCATTGCGGCGAATTTTCTCTCAATCTGCGTACAAGTAAGCAAAACAGGTGGGTTTTGTACAGTAATTAGTATGCTGCACTTACCTATTTCCTTTGGGTTGTAGAAAAGTGGTGTAATGACTAACATACATCATAGCTTTTTAACCTAACCAACCCTAGACTTACAACCGGGTATCCCTCACTATTAGTCACTTATAACATGGAAAGAAAGCACGTTGGTAGGATGCCAAAGATTTCGAGAATCAGAATACGGTCACTGTCGCGATGGTCAAGCTATGCCGCTCATCCTTAGATTGATTTTAGCCTCTGACAACCTTGTCCATTCCTCTGGTGTGTTTAGATTGACCGATAATTTTGCTAGGGTTAAATTTTATTCCATTGACATCATTGGGGAATGAGAGTCCTCTATATTTACTCCACCTCGATTAATAATATTATTGGGATTATATTTATCCGTCGTTTATTTACATTAAAAAGCTTCAAGGTGGCTGTAGTAGGCTTATGACCTAGAGAATGAGCACGTGAAATGGGAGTCTCATTTAAAACATACAAATCTTTCAGTACTCAATATGGAATAAAGGGGAATATGATATCTAAACAAAATAACGAGGCAGAAAAAACTAGTTTAAATTAAACATTCTAGGCTAGCTTAACTACACACCTTATGATGTCGCAAGTCTCAATATGTTTGAAAATATTCTCGATCTTTTCGATTATTCGTGAGGGATAGTTTGTTAGTCCAAACTATTAGTACCGTTTCAAGTAAACATAATATCAGGCTTCATTTAACACATGTTAGTTAAGGTGCGTGCTCTTCTGAGACATGTTTCTTCAGTTATAATAAATTTTCACCTGGTATGCCTCGAGTCATATGTGATATTTAAAATCTACCCTCCAACGTCAAAGCCACACTACACGATTAATTCATAACATGGATTACCCTTTCGTCGTATCCACGTTCTACGGCAGTTATGATGACCGTGCAACTTAAACGACTTTATTACAAAAATATAGTAATAAGTGTAGGTATACGGGACAGAGTGCGACCAATGCCGTATGGGACAATCCATGACGTGCAATTAACTGTTGCACGTTTGTTGTCCTTGACGAGGATCGGTAAACTGTTCGATATTTAGTGACCCGTCAGGTACATGATTTGGCTAGAGCATAGTGACATTTCACTGGCTCTGGAGAGTAAACCAGAAGGACATGATCTTTATGATTAACATTACTGATTATTCCCTACACTTCTATTGGAATGAATAAAGTGGATGTTAATTTGCTGACTGGAATGTAAAACGGACCACAGTTTACAAACCAACTGTACATAACTCGTTAACATACATCAACTTCCCTCACTACGAGAAAGAATTTAACAGCATGGATAAGAGAACATCATGGAACATTCTTCAACACTATGGCATGAGTAGCTGAGACAATCGTCACCATCATACGGAATTCATACGACGGACTACAGTTCAAAGTCGTGCATGAAAGATAGCTCATATACACATTCCAAGTGAGGACCGTAGTCAGGCAATGCTCATCACTCTCTTCGTTTCTGTTTTTTCTGGTGGTTGACTGGATTACAAAGATCTCCACATCTGAGGGGATGCACAGATAACAATGGAGATCTTGGATACAACTAGACGATTTGGACTTCGCAGACGAACTAGCCTTTCTATCCCAATTAAGACCAACGAATACAGGTGGATATATCCAGTTTAACGGCCGTGTCTACATCAGTAGACCTCAACGTAGAAAAAGGAGAAAGCAAGATCCTCAAACACAACATGGGGAGCACCAATTCAGTCACACCTGATAGAGAAGCTCTGTATAACATTGTTAATCAACAAGGAGTGTGCGGTATAGATGGAAACGAAAGGATGGCAAATCACAAGTAGCATTCCTACGGTCGGATGGCATGTGGAACTCAAAACAACTGACTGTAGACCAACATCAAAGTGAGGATCTTCAAAACGAACGTCGAAACACTTCTACTGTATGGAACTGAATTTTCGAGAACTACTACTACCATCATCAAAACAGTACAAGTATTTATAAACAATTGTCTATGCAAGAATTGGATAGGACATACAGTTAGGAAACCATAAAACTAATCCTCGGGGAAAGCCCTAACCTTCAATCTCGAATGCAAAAGAAAAAGCAGTAGATCGGGAAACACGTTGTCCCGGGAGCCAGAGACAGACATAAAAAGTACGATTATTATTTAGATATAATTAGAAAGGAGAGCACAATAAAGTGTTTATTGTTGAATCTTAGTCGGTGGCCATCGCTTCGGTAATGGTAACGGATATAAATAATTAACGTGTATAAAAAAGAGATAGTGTAACTCGGTTACCCGTGAAACCTCTTTCTGAACTCATCGTCTAATAGTTGAATAGACTGTCAGAGCCTACGTGGGAGCCAGGTGGTTGCATTTGATTGTAACTTTTGGGGAATAAATAGAAACTTTCACATCACTATTTTACTTATATGCAAAGATTTGAGAACTATAGAACATGCTTTCGTTTTCTGCAAGCGTTAGCTCCATTCACTGTTTTGATTGATCTTTTCCAGTCATCTCTGATTTTGAAGAGTTATAATATATTATTCTACATCCCGTACAATTTCAATGAACCTACTACGTGTCTGGTCACTTATACTTTTATGGTAAACTGCACTTAAGTGAACATCCGTTTGGTATATAAGACGAACGAGTTGATACAAATGTCTTTTGAACTCGATAATGGGTACCTATTGTTGCTTGCCAAAGTCCCTTGTTGAACAGTGAAGCCAGTAACGATGAAATCAGATGTCAAATTACGAATACGAAAGTATTCTTGAATTATTGGTCAGTGTGACATAATGCATGATATCAGAGTCGATTACTAAATTCAGCAATTGCGTAGCATGGCCTATTGAAATATTATTACATTTGAGTGGTTGGTCTAGTCCTCTACATTAGAGGTTAATCCAGTTCAGGATCAATTTCGAAGGTCGTAAGCCATTTATTTTGTGGATTTATTCAATGCTTCACATGCGAACTACTTCTTGATCGGAACCAATGGACTACAGAGGTATCAGTTAGGGCACATTTTTTAGAGTATTTTAAAATTAGGCTCGAATAAATTTGGTGATGAAAAAAGTTATTATTGAGCCATATAGGATACACTGCTAGACAGCCGAAAACCTTCCCCCCGATTCTAAACAAATCAGAATGATAGTTGTGAATAACAGGCAGGTTATAGTGTCACATTTTCCATCACTGTATAAGACAACAGCATCACTGTTTGTGATACTTAAAATATGTCTACCCATAGGAATTCTAAAACAACAGGAAGTAGTCAGGGTTGGAGTTTCTTCATAAAACAGTTTGTAATTTGATCCATAATCAGTCAAGGATCACACAGTAAAAACTAAAACACACTGAACTTTCCTGAATATCCCTCATTTATAGCCAGATTAGTATCACAGAATTAGGGAAGGTGTGATCATTACACATCACATTGTTCATAGTCTTCAACCCCCGAATAGTTCATTGATATGCCTCAGTCACGAGTCACGCTTAAGAGGACATCCACAGAAGGTAGAACGCGCAAAAGTTCTCACAAAACCTCGAACAAATTTATTCGCGATTTGAATCAATAAGTTATGGAAGAAAATCCCTAAGGATGATCGTTTTAATGCACTCCGTTAATCTTCTCATAAAAGGTTGTCACTGGCCTGTTAATCTAACTGATATTCGACTGAACAACGCAACATGCCATGTATATAAAATTCCAGTTTACTCACGTTTATCTCACAAAAGCCATCACCGTTTCGGAGAGAGTGGTAACAAAAGGCGATGTATTTCAAGTAATCATTTTCACAGACCGACATTAAGAGGCAAAGCATGAGAACCGAGGCAGAAAGGAGAAGGCGAAAATGTCTAATCAGGATTTATGTGCATTATATAATTCAATATAGCTCAAAATAAATCATGCATAATGTGACAGAAAAATTATATGTGCCAAATATGCACACAAGGCTCATAACCTTTGAAATATAAGAACGTGAAAATAAAACGTGTATATGCGTAAGAATCAATAATTAGAGTTATTGTGAAAACAAAATAAATTGGTAGTCGCATGCGATCTCAATAATTTAAGCTCTTTCACAGGCTAGGATAAGCTATTTGTGTAGTAATACAGGACACTACATGT